TCACTGGCGAATTCTATCAAATATTTAGAGAAGAGCTAATACCTATCCTTCTCAAACTCTTCCAAAAAATTGCAGAGGGAGGATCACTCCCAAACTCGTTCAACGAGGCCACCATCACCCTGATACCGAAACCAAAGATATTAGACAAAAAAATTACAGACGAATATCACTGATGAGCATAGATGCAAAAAGGTGCTTAGAGAGAAATGTATCACCTCTAATGCTTGTATTTGAAAAGAAGAACGTTCTCTAGTCATTAAATTTCCATCTTAAGAAAGTAGAAAAGTACAGTAAATTAATCCCAGAGCAATCCAAAAGAAGGAAACAATAGAGAGTAGAATTCAATTAAATAGAAAGCAGAAAAATAATAGGGAATAATCCATAAACAAAAGTTCTTTGAAATACTTAATAGAATCAAAAAATGTCTTGGAAAATTGTTAGGAAAAAATAGAAAAAAGAGGGAAGACACAAATTACTGATACCCCTAGAAAACATTGGCAAACTTGGACAGCTCAATATCAATGAACAGTATTGAGTTTGAGTAAAAAAATTTTTCCTGAAGAAAAACTCCAATTCCAGATGACTTCACTGTTTACTTCTGTCAAGTATTTGAAGAGGAAATATTACCAAGCCTACACAATTAATTACATAAAATAATGGAGGTGGGAACCTTTCCCTTCTCATTTTATAAGGCTAGTGTCACCCTCATTCCAGAAAATGGTCAGTGCTACCATAAGAAGAGAGAACTATATCAACAAAATATTAGCAAACCAAATCCAACAACACATAAAAAGATCATACACCATAACCAATTGGGATCATCCCAAGTTCACAAGGATGGTTCAACATACACAAATCAGTCTATGTGGTACACCACATAAAAGCCAAAAACCACATGACCATCTCAATAGATGCAGAAAAAGCATTTGACAAAATTCAACATGTATTCATGATTAAAACTCTTACAAAAGTGGGTAGAGAGGGAACATATCTCAAGATAATAAAAGTTATTCATGACAGACCTATAGCCAATATAATACTCAGTGGTGAAAAGCTGAAAGCTTTCCCGCTAAAATCTGGAGCAAGACAAGGATACCCACTTGCACTTCTTCTATTCAACATAGTATTGGAAGTCCTAACCACGGCAGTCAAACATGAAGAAGAAATAAAAGGTATCCAAACTGGAATGCAAGAGGTCAAATTGTTATTATATGCAGATGATAATATATTATATATACAAAACCCTAAAGACTCCACATAAAAACTACTAGAAATGATAAACGAACTCAACAAGGTAGCAGGATACAAGATTAACATACAGAAATTGGTTGCATTTCTTTTCACCAATGATGAACTATCAGAGAATATAAAAAAACAATACCTTTAAAAATTGCACCCCCCAAAATAAAATACTTATGAATAAATTTGATCAAGGAGGTGAAAGACTTATACACTGAGAACTACAAAACATTAATAAGGGAAATTGAAGATAATTCAAAGAAATGGAAAGATATTCCATGCTCTTGGATTGGAAGAATTAATATTGTTAAAATGGCTATACTACTCAAAGCAATCTACAGATTTGATGCAATCCCTATCAAATTACCCATGACATTTTTCACAGAACTAGAACAAATAATCCTAAAATTCATATGGAACCATCCCTATCAAATTACCCATGACATCTTTCACAGAACTAGAATAATCCTAAAATTCATATGGAACCATAAAAGACCCAGAATGACCAAAGCAATCCTGAAGAAAAAGAACAAAGCAGGAGGCATAACCCTCCCAGACTTCAGACAATACTACAAAGCTACAGTTATCAAAACAGTGTGGTATTGGCACAAAATCAGACATATGGATCAATGGAACAGTACAGAGAGCCCAGAAATAAACCCACACACCAGTTGTCAATTAATCTTCAACAAAGGGGGCAAGAATATACAACAGGGAAAAGACAATCTCTTCAGCAAGCGGTGTTGTGAAAGTTGGACAGCCACATATAAATCAATGAAATTAGAACACATCTTGTCACCATACACAAAAATAAACTCAAAATGGCTTAAAGACTTAAACATAAGAAATGACACCATAAAACTCCTAGAAGAGATCATAGGCTAAACATTCTCTGACATAAATCTTAACATTGTTTTCTTAGGTCAGTCTCCTAAGGCAAGAGAAATAAAAACAAAAATAAACAAATGAGACCTAATCAAACTTACAAGCTTTTGCACAGCATAGGAAACGATAAACAAAACGAAAAGACAACTTACAAGAATGGGAGAAAATATTTTCAAATATTGCAACCAACAAGAGCTTAATTTCCAAAATATACAAACAGCTCATAACAACAACAAAACAAACAGCCTAGTCAAACAATGGGCAGAAGACGTAAATAGAGATTTCTCCAAAGAACAAATATAGATGACCAATAGGCATGTGAAAAGATGCTCAACATTGCTATTGGAGAATGCAAATCAAAACTGCAATGAGGTACCACCTCACACCAGTCAGAATGTCCATCATTAAAAAGTTACAAATAACAAATGCTGGAGAGGATGTGGAGGAAAGGGAACCCTCCTACATTGTTGATGGGAATGTAAGTTGGTGCAGCCACTGTGGAAAACGGTATGGAGGTATCTCAGAAATCTACAAACAGAATTAGCATCTGATCCAGCAATCCCACTCCTGGGCATATATTCATACAAAAGTATAATTCAGGGGTTCCCTGGTGGCACAGTGGTTGAGAGTCCACCTGCTGATGCAGGGGACACAGGTTCATGCCCCGGTCCGGGAAGATCCCACATGCCACGGAGCGGCTACCCATGAGCCATGGCTGCTGAGCCTGCATGTCCGGAGCCTGTGCTCCACAACGGGAGAGGCCACAACAGTGAGAGGCTCATGTACCGCCAAAAAAAAAAAAAAAAAAAAAGTATAATTCAGAAAGCCATGTGCCCCTATGTTCATAGCAGCTGTATTCACAATAGCTAAGACATAGAAACAACCTAAATACCCATCGACAGATGAATGAATAAAGATGTGGTACATATATACAATGGAATACTACTCAGCCATGGAAAAGAACGAAATGCCATTTGCAGCAACATGGATGCAACTAGAGATTATCATACTAAGTGAAGTAAGTCAGAAAGAGAAAGACAAAATATTATATCGCTTATATGTGGAATCTAAAATATGACACAAATGAACCTATCTATGAAACAAAAACAGAATCTTAGACCTAGAGAACAGACTGGTGGTTGCCAAGGGAGAGGGAGTTGGGGGAGCGATAGAATGGCAGGTTGGGGTTAGCAGATGTAAGCTTTTATATATAGAATGGAGAAACAACAAAGTCCTATATAGCACAGGGAACTATGTTCAATATCCTATCATAAACCATAAAGGAAAGGAATACATTAAAAACATGTATATATATTTAACTGTATTACTTTGCTATACAGCAAAATTAGCATTGTAAATCAACTATAGTTCACTAAAAATATTGATTTAAGAAAAGAAGAAGTAGCCCAATGTACTTTTGACTATAGTCAATGCAAAATTTCTTAACAAAAGTTTGACAAATCAAATTCAAAAAATATGCAAGAAAAAGGTTAACACATTATGACTAAATGGAGTTTATACTAGAATTCAGTTGTATTAACATCTGAAAATCGTTCAACTAATTTCACTGTATTAATAGGATAAAAGAGAACTACATGGTCATTTCAACAGGTGCAGAAGAAGCATTTGAAAAAATTCAACACTCTTTCATAACAAAAACACTCAGCTGGCTAGGAATGGAAGGGAACTTACTCAACTTGATTAAGGGTATCTACAAACTACAGGTTAATAATACTCAAAGGTAAAAGGCTTGATATTTTCTCTCTTAACATGTGGAACAAAGTAAGAATGTCTGCTGTCACCACTTTTAACATTGTACTGATGGTCTGTTCTAGTGCATTATAAGGCAAGAGAAAGAGATGAAAGGGAAACACACTGGAAAGGAAGAAGTAAATTGCTCTTATTTGTAGACAGTATGGTAGTATTTGTAGAAAATTCAGAAAAATAAAAGCTGTTAGAAATAGTAAATGAAATTATTAAGGCTATAGAATAAAAGGTCAACATAGAAAAAGCAATTGTATTTCTAAATACTAGCAAGAAAAATTAGAAAATGAAAAAAAATTTAAACTTCCATAATAGCATAAAAGAATACTTAGAAATAAATTCAGTTAAAGATTTGCAAGACATTTTCACAGAAAATTACAAAACACTGCATTAGAAAATTGAAGACCTAAATAAATGGAGAGCTATACCATGTTCATGGATTGGAAGACTTAGTTTATTAAGATGGCAATATCCTCCAGATTGACCTACAGATTTAATGCAATTCTAACAGACTTTGTCTTAAGAAATCTGCAAACTGATTTTATTTATATGGAAATAAATGATCCTTTATCTGATAGCACAAGTGTCAAAAAGTAAAAGCTTCATACTACTGCTCCTGAGATTTATTATTTAAGCTACAAACTGTGCCTATCATTTTTTAAAACAGAAACTTACCTATGATCTGGGAACAGTTTTTGCCTTTGAAAGCTTTTTCTTGGAACACCTGTTGGACCATAATAAAGAAACTGAGTATGTCAGTGATGGACTTACAATGGCTAAACAATACATTTTAAAAGTGTGGCAAAGTTTTGGGGGTTCATATACTTTATAGATAAGATGTGTGCAGATAATTAAAATTTAACCATACTTTAAAAGGATTTTTAGTCAATTTTCTTACAATTGTCTTCTCCGTCTCCCCTTCTCCTCCCCCTCCTCCTCCTCCTTCTTCTTTGTTAATATACCTCCAAATAAATGCTAGTATATCTTGAGGTAAAGATGGGGCTTATGTATTACTCTGGAATAGACTTTGTGTTGATTTTATATTTTATAAAAGAGAAATATTTGCATCATTATGATTCTTTATTAATGGGAATTTTTTCTTGTTTTTGTAGGGAAGAATGGACAGAAGCTATCCAGGCTGTAGCAGACAGACTCCAGAGGCAAGAAGAGGAGAGAATGAATTGTAGTCCAACTTCACAAATTGATAATATAGGAGAGGAAGAGATGGATGCTTCTACAACCCATCATAAAAGAAAGGTAGAAAATAACATCTTACTCCCCTCCTCAGCACAACATTTATATGTGTAGAAGAAATACGTTAACAACTTCCATTTGCAAAAACTGTTAGCCAATTCTCTTATGATATGCTATTATATTGGTGTGGATGGTTTTTAATAAGGTGAATCTTAAACCTGTCATTGTTTAAAACGAAATAATTGAAACATCACTTTATTTCAGTGTTTCAGCAATTACCGCTGAATGCTGAAAGGGCTGTTAGGAAGTTGTGATTGATGTGCCATCATACTATTTTATAATTTGCATTTTTCCCTTATTGTTTTTAATACTATTTTAGAAACTTGGAAATAAAGTGTTTTCCCTAATATGGTCCTTTTCTATTTGGCATTCTGTGTTCTCCTGAAAGCAGAAGGTGAAATGGCTCTGGTATACTTCCTGCTTTGTGCCCCAGCCTCACTAATGTCAGCAGGAAAGCAAACAGTCTTGGAAATTATAGCTTTTTATTTTAGTGGCTGCTTCTGAGCCAATGAGAGAAATAGATTTTTTCTTCCCTCAGTGCTCCAGAATAATAATTGCCAATTTATATATTTATGAGAATTATAAATTATGTTTTTCATTGCTATAGAAAATTGCAAAGCAACTCCCTATGTAAAAAGTGGTATTTTAAGATTAAGGGTAAAAGTATTCAAAATAGATGAACATGCCATTTTTAATGTTAGAATATATTTGTTATAATAGATTTTAAATTAATCTTCAGGTACGAAAATGCTAATTCTTAAGGTAATGATCCATGTAATTTGGTATTAGCACAGTGATTAAGAACTCTTTGGAGTTAGACTGCCTGAGTTCAAATCCTCTTTTTCCTATGTGCTAACCATGGGAACTTGCTGAGCTTTACAGTTACAACTTAGATTTAGTTAATCATCCTTTCCTTACCTGAAATTTCTATTCTAATTAGAATAATATTCTATACTTGATCTTGGCCAAATGTCTGAGAACCCTGTATGTCTTCCTTGAAAACTAATCCTCTATTTGTTAGTTGAATTTTATCCCTGTTTTCTTTTGAATCACCTTAACAACGCTCTGCCCTTGTTCCTCAGGCACTGCAAAGAGAAAAATACAATCTAGCTTTAGCCACCTTCTCAGAGAGAAAAAAGCTTCTTTTGCTCATGTATATGCACATGTACACAATTAATTTGAAATTTGACTATGCTTATAAATTTAAAGTCATATCCTGATTATTGTCACCCTTTGAGTAATAAACTACCTTGTTCAGTAACAAGCTAGACTGCTGTAGAAATTCTTAATAAGAAAGATTAATAGTAAGATGCTGTTTAGGCAGTTAGAGGTTGAAAGTGGGAAGTTTATAACACTCTAACTAGAAATACTGTTACTGATAGATGTAAGAATTTTGGAAATGAATATTTGCAGAAGAACTTTGAATGAAGAGAGACAACCATTTTGAAAGATATAAAAATGGAAAACTATGGAATATCCTTCTTTTTCTGTTAAGGCAGGTTGTAAATAATTATTAAAGCATAATACGTTTTCCTGTTTTTTTACCAGTTGATTATCTTAGAATTTATCACCTTCACTAATTATCACTTACAAAGATTTATTATATGCTTATTTTGTGCTAGGCTCTGAGCAGTACTTTTATATGTGTTATCTCATTTGATCCTCATAGGAATCATATGAGGTAGGTACTGTTATCCCATTTTACAGTTGAGTCCTATGATATTTAAAGAAGTTAAATATCTTATTCAAGCATATAATGACTTTACACACTATGCAACTTCAGTATGCAGTCTACTTTTTTTTGATTCACATATCTTGAGCTTCTATAATCTCTATAATTGTTTTAGTCATAACATAAACAAGCTATATTAGAAACAAAATTATACAGATAGACTCTCTTATATTTGTACTCTGTTTCTCAAAATAGTATGTCAAATTGTTGCATTTACACAGTGCTTGAATATTAATTTCATTTTATATTAGAGCACTCTTGGAAAAAATCAGTAGAATTTTAATATTATAGAATGCTGGTAGAAAGTGAGGTTTTTGTTGTCCTACTGCTTGAGTTCATGTCCTGGGTCTACAATGTGTGTAATTGTGGGGAAAGTCCCTTAATCTTTCTGTCCTTTAGTCCCTTTATCTATAAAAGGAAGATAACAGTGGTACTTACCTCATAGAGTTGTGAGGATTAAAATATAGTTTGGAATATATGTGAAGTACGTATATACTAAGTGCTCAATGAATATTAGCTATTATTAGCTAGTATTCTACTTTATCTACATAAACATAATTAAACATTCCCACATTTTTAAACTGGAGTCTCCTAGAATTCTCTTGTTGAAACTAAGCCTCCAAAATGAAAAATTGATAGAAGTATTTTGAATTTGGGGGGGTCGGGGTCCATTGTCTTATTTAGCCTATATCTTATTTCCATTGTAATTTTAAAATTTTATTTAATATGAAATAGTATAAAAAGTTTGAAATAACAAAGAGTCCAGAAAAAGAACATTTGTACCACTAACTATGCTATAACAATCGTAATAACTTGGTTCAAAAGGGTGAAATGTTACTATCACTTCCTTAAGATGACTCTAAAACTACAGTTGACACATGAACAACACAGAAGCTTGGTGAGCTGCCCTCTGCACAGTTAAAATTCTGCCTATAAGTTATAGTCGGCCCTCTGTGTCCCAGTTCTCCCTATCTGTGGTTCCTCTGATGCAACATTTCCTCCACATGCACTCTTGTTTTGTATCTGTGTTTCTGCATTTGAGGATTCAACCAACAGTGGATCAAAAAAATGAGTAGAAAAAAATCCACATGTAAATGGATCCACAGAATTCAAACCCATGTTGTTCAAGAGTCAGCTATATATCCTTTATGAATTTCAGTTATAAAAAGAATGTACAAGTTCAGATTACTTTAAATTTTAGATTGTAAACACAAATATTTTCAGATAAGAATATCCTTCTCTGAGAGATAGCTTCAGGATGGCGGAGGAGTAAGGCATGTAGCTCACCTTCCTCCCCATGAATACATCAAAAATACATTTACATGAGGAACAGCTCCTACAGAACACGTACTGAACGCTGGCAGAAGACCTCAGACTTCCCAAAAGGCAAGAAACTCCCCACATACCTGGCTGTGTGGCTAACAGGGTCTTGGTGCTCCGGCCAGGTGTCAGGCCTGAGCCTCTGAGGTGGGAGAGCCGAGTTCAGGACATTGGTCCACCAGAGACCTCCCAGCCCCATGTAATATCAAATGGCAAAAGCTCTCTCAGAGATCTCCACCTCAACAGGAAGAGCCAGCTACACTCAACAACCAGCAAGCTACAGTGCTGGACAACCTATGCCAAACAACTAACAAGACAGGAACACAACCCTACCCATTAGTGGGAAGGCTGCCTAAAATCATAATAAAGTCACAGACACCCCAAAACACACCAGAAGATGTGGACATTCCATCCAAAAACAACAGAATACACTTTCTTCTCAAGTGTTCATGGAACATTCTCCAGGATAGATCATATCTTGGTCACAAATCAAGCCTTGGCAAATGCAAGAAAATTGAAATCATATCATGTATCTTTTCTGACCACAACGCTATGAGACTAAATATAAATTACAGGAAAAAAATCTGTGAAAAATACAAATACATGGAGGCTAAACAATACTACTAAATAACCAAGACATCACTGAAGAAATCAAAGAGGAAATCAAAAAATACCTAGAAACAAATGACAATGAAAACACGAGGACCCAAAACCTATGGGATGCAAAAAAAGCAGTTCTAAGAGGAAAGTTTATAGCAATACCTACCTCAAAAAACAAGAAACATCTCAAATAAACAACCTAACCTTACACCTGAAGCAGTTAGAGAAAGAAGAACAAAAAACCCCCAAATTTAGAAGAAGGAAAGAAATCATAAAGATCAGATCAGAAATAAATGAAAAAGAAATGAAGGAAACAATAGCTAAGATCAAAAAAACTAAGAGCTGGTTCTTTGAGAACATAAACAAAATTAATAAACCATTAGCCAGACTCATCAAGAGAAAAAGGGAGAAGACTCAAATCAATAGAATTAGAAATGAAAAAGGAGACATAACAACTGACACAGCAGAAATACAAAGGATCATGAGGGATGACTACAAGCAACTATATGCCAGTAAAATGGGCAACCTGGAAAAAATGGACAAATTCTTTAAAAGCACAACCTTCTGAGACTGAACCAGGAAGAAATAGCAAAAATGAACAGACCGATCACAAGCACTGAAATTGAAACTGTGATTTAAAAATCATCCAACAAACAAAAGCCCAGGACCAGATGGCTTCACAGGCGAATTCTATCAAACATTTAGAGAAGAGCTAACACCTGTCCTTCTCAAACTCTTCCAAAATATAGCAGAGAGAGGAACACTCCCAAACTCATTCTATGAGGCCACCATCACCCTGATAGCAAAACCAGACAAAGATGTCACAAGACAAGGAAACTACAGGCCAATATCACTGATGAACATAGATGCATAAATCCTCAAAAAAATACTAGCAAACAGAATCCAACAGCACATTAAAATGATCATACACCATGATCAAGTGGGGTTTATCCCAGGAATGCAAGGATTTTTCAATTTACACAAATCAATCAATGTAATACACCATATTAACAAATTGAAGGAGAAAAACCATATGATCATCTTGATAAAAGCTTTCACAAGAAAAAGCTTTTGACAAAATTCAAAATTTTGAATTTTTGATAATTGATTAATGATAAAAACTCTCCAGAAAGTAAGCATAGAGGGAACTTACCTCAACATAATAAAGGCCATGTATGCCACAGCCAACTTTGTTCTCACTGGTGAAAAACTGAAACCATTTCCACTAAGATCTAGAACAAGACAAGGTTGCCCCCTCTCACCACTATTATTCAACATAGTTTTGGAAGTTTTAGCCACAGCAATCAGAGAAGAAAAAAAAATGAATCCAAATCAGAAAAGAAGTAAAACT